TTGTCTAGATATAAACAAGCGAATCGATAGCTGCGCGCGTAGTTTATTCAATGATACGCGCAACTTGAAGTAACCCATTGCACGTGCGAAGTTCGTAAAGGAAATAATTCGTATGCGTCTGGTCCAATCATAATTCAATCTGTCAGTCAATCAACATACAATATTTTACACAAATTGTGAAGAATTTAATAACAGATTAACTTACTTATGTGGCATGTCCTCCTGTATAACACGGTGGACAGTTGCATGTATACGACGTGTATAAACTTATGACAATTTGACAAATTCCTCCATTATGACAGGGGTTAACCAGACAAGGGCTATCCACTATAATGCGAAAAAAAAGATAATATGGATTCAATCTCATTGAGACCCACGCGGTCTACGGTAGCTTTTAGTGGTGTTTAGTATAACCGCCATGATACCATCAGCAGTGAGAATTGGGCATTAAAGTCTTTTTTTTTGTCTTGGCTATTATTTAATTCAGATGCAGAGCTTAGAAACATTACATACAACTTGACAGATCTGGCCAATTGGTCTTATTAATCGATCGTTGTTCATTTACCCGATTTACGTTGGTATTTCGCCAAGAATTATAAAACAGTCACAGTTATTCAGATGCAACATATTCCAGCTCACGTAGAATTAAAACCTAATATTGTTCAAGTTCATTTGTTTATATTTTCAAACTTTTACGCAGCCCATCGTGTGAGTTAATTTGGTCTAATACTATCCCAATACCGTAAATGCAAATGGCCGTGAGATGTCGTTGAGAGCGAGAGCCAATTGGATTTGTCTTACCCCTCAAATACTGTTCCATTCTCCCCCATTATCGAATTCACTGTTCTCCTGGCCTATGAAACGTTGACATTTGGAACATTGGACTCAACGACGGGAATAATGGAACATGGTTTGAGGGGCAAAACAAATCCCATAGCTCTTGGCGGCCATTTGCGTCTAAGGTCCATTCAAAGCAGCAGTGGTCGACCTGTACGGTTTATTATACATAATATCGTACAAATGAACGGCACATGTTAAATTTCTTTATCATCGTTACCTAAAAAGACACTTGTAATAATGAACCATTGGCTGATATTACCTGTTTTTCTTGTCACGGAATTTGTTATAACAATATTCCCATCCTCGTCCAAGGCATCAATCGTAATGGTGTAATACGTAGATGGTACCAAATCTTCGAACAAGTATTCCACATTCCTGCTCTCTGATGTCATATTTTTAGGGTATCTACCATGATCGTCTGGCACTATAGACACAATATATACGCTAGGTAGATGTTCGTAGTTCTGTATATTCCACTCAACTTGAATCCCAGTCGGCGATATGTGCGTGAGAACCAAGTTCAACACTGGTGTGGGGGGATCTAAAACACACAGCGTGCATATTATGAGAAAATGATTTATAAATAAATAAATTGAAAATATCAAGATTATTTCACAAAATGCAATAAACCGACTACCGTTATTGGCAACATAAACATAACGTTTCTCTCTACTATCAAATCATATTAGAAATACACCTTAACCCAACGAACACGACGTGAATGGCGAAGTGCGAAGACATTATATTCAGTCTGATTGTAATTGTAATATTAACAAATTTAGAGATAATAGTAACAGTAAATCATTCTGCTTGATACGATTTTGTTCTAAAATAGCACAAGCTTTAGCGTGATACATTCTCGCAATCTGATATTCCCGATAAACGTTGTCACATCGTCACTAATTGCCAAGACATGAGATATGATCCCATGTGTTTGATGTACGTATTTCCACAGCCACGATAATAGATGCGGTATTTCAAGAGTGTAATTAAATTGTACGACCAATGATAGAATATTGTTTGTCATGTTCATGGAGATCTATAATCAATAATCAGAAATGTCACGAGTGAATCAATCATATGCACATATGGATAATAGTAAACAATGCGTAGATTTCACCATAGCATAATTATAATGATTTATGGAATTATAAGATATTCATATTTACAATTTGTGAGTCCATCACCCTACTGCGATACTGAAAAAATCGTATATGTACCGGCCCTCTACCCAATATAATAATATTACAACAGATGTGTAGTGTAGTGTAGCTATTGATATGGTTATCCGTGTAAAATTCATAAAAATATATAATACAATTCTGTAGTTTGTCCGTTAACGACTAGGCTGGTGAATATATTTATATTTTCATTGCTTTTGTTGCGTCACATTTGTTGTGTGGACAGCGTTCTTATTTCCTCGTGGAATCAATTTGAAAATGACACGTCGCGACAACCTGTAGCTTTAGAATAAAAAGGCGCTGTACTGTGCATGATATAGCTCAGCTTATTATTTACCCTATTATTAAATGTGTGGGAATAATAAAATCCCTAATCCCAATGGGCCTGGAGTAAGATTTATTTTACAAGTTAGATTTCGCGATTAGAAATGTAGATATGTATAAATATATATATATATATATATATATATACATAGTTAGTATATTATGTGTATACCATTCGGTAGGGTATACGCCCACGACATGCTTGCTGTTGACTATACATGCCATAACAATCACGGTGGAATAGCCAACATGCACGTGATTGTCTATAAATATGGCGACATAGGGATCCCCAACAAGTGTGAACAATTCCACATAACCACAAAAGGAAACATGATATTATGTACAATGCACATTATGCAAAATTACTACCAGTTCTGCAGTGCATGGCACGGGCGTGGCGATGCTGTCGACACAATTCACTTTTTACGTTTTCGATTCTTCTGGTATGTCATATCCACTGACAACAAAAAACGGGCGATACATTCCAATTGTCCGTCCAATGTCAATCGGAAACCTTTGTACGTCTGTTGCTAATCTATTATGCCATTGACCGTATGACGTCATTGCAGCGTTCAATAACAATCATGAGATGTCATCTGCCAACAGCTGCTATTCGCTTTGTAGTCCAGGCTCAAATGTTACGAAACACGCAATTGGATTTGATCGTTTTATGCGCGACTTCTGGTGTAACAATATTATCAAAACAGATTATGTTTAACGAGCGCACGTAAGCATAGTGTGGACATTTGATCCCACACGCCCAATGAACAGAAATGTGAGAATACTAGTATTTTTCACATTTAAAAATAATGTAGTAACTTCAATGGCCATACACCATTTTATCAGGTAGCAAATGCAAGTTTATATCGCCAACGCTTTATTTCAATTTTGTAAACGTGTGCCGCCTCCTTACAAATATAATACACTCGCCTTTGTCGTGCATTCATTAGACCGTACGTAATTAACTGACATTAAATATTGACATGGGAATGTACATGTCATAATATATTACGTTTCGTTTCCACTGAATTACATTAAATTTTAATCAAAACTACGTCGTCGGACTTGCATGAATGCATACTATTAGTGAGGGATAATTTCGTATAATAATAATGTCGATTTTTATTTCGTTCAAAATATGTAAATAAAACGAAACAAATAACTGTGTATGTACTGTGCATTTGTTACCAATTAACTGCATACATTTTGGGGGGGAGTGTGTTTGAATAAGTTGGTCCGGGTCATTCGGTAAAAAAAGATAAAACTAACCCGGACACTTCGGCACCATATATTAAAAAACGTTCACCGTAGACTAAAATGATGTCCCTTAAGTGGTATAATATAATTTGTATCCAGTGTATGCCCTGGACAATAGACTTAATTAATAATTGTAACATGTGCGCTTGTTGTATTGTGACAGTAGCGAATCCGTTGTGTGTCCGTGCGTGTAAACAATGTATGAAATGCCATAACGAAAAGTTAATAGAAATTGTAGCCCCTCAATAGAATGTCAACATAAACGGCATTTTGATTATTTCATCAAAGCACACACATAATACTGCGCGATAACTAAATGTGTTGAATACAGACATCGATTTCTATATGATAATTAGCTTCTCAAACGAATAGTAAAGCATATTTCTATTCTGGGACATGCTCTTAGTATTTACGACTGGTTATGATTTAGTTTGTGCCAGCACGGTGTTGGGACATCGTCCGCCTGCACGGTGTTGTTCCGTTCGGATATTCCTCCCTCTACAACAGCGGAGTGCTTCGCCGGAACATTCACCTTGAAAATTCAAGATGTGTTGGGAAGTATTAAACAGGTTTGAAGAAATGATGGTCGTATGTCTGTTGCAGTGCTCCACCAATGAACTGGGCAGGATATAATTATGAATACATAGTCATTATTATCTGCTGTTTCCTTAGGTGTTAAGTTTACTAAATGAACGCCAGATGATGTACTTAAGCTAATTAATGTAAACAGGTGCTCGAACCAACACACACGAACACCACCAACTCCCCTGTCTTCCATTCGGCCACAGGGAATTCATTCAAGGCTGACTTGAACTGGCCAATGGGCGTTCTAGGATTTCCGTAATTATATGCCGTAATCTGAGTACGCCATTCATTCAAGGCTGACTTGAACTGGTCAATGGGCGTTCCAGGATTTCCGTAGTTATATGCCGTGATCTGAGTACGCCATGGTTTAGAAAATCAAAGTACTGTATATGCGACAAATTAACCACAAGCACTGCGTATTTACAGCGACAAGGCGATTAGATGGACTCTCCATTTCGCAACAGAAAATTAGTCGAATCACTAGCTGGTTACGGCTCATAAACTACTCGTGGTTTATATTGTTTGTAGTTCCATGCTCAACCATCACGTAGCCATGATTTAACTAGCACATAACTGAACTTATTCGACACTGAGACCGTGAAACCCGTCTGCCTTAATAGGTCATATTCTCGGCAGGTGTGCATGTCTCCATAATAACCATGTCCGATCGCGTCAGCTAATGTTCGACTCGTTCGAAGTTATTTTTAGTTAGTTAGTTAGTTAGTTAGTTCACGACCATTCTCTCGTAAATACAAACAAATGAATATACATGTATACTTGCCAGTGGTGTGAGATATTTGGGAACGATTTTACTGATCATTACACTATTGCGACATACATACATGTGGTATTGAATGTCGCAAGTAAATACTCATAGCTCGAGATTTTTCAGAGGCATTAGGCGTGGAACACCTCATGCTGGAGGGCGTGTGACGTAACATAAAATACAAGACATACATTGAATTATGAAGCGGTTGTTTGCACTGTTCTGTTCTGTTGCCTTTATTTCCCCGGGCGTATTACTGTATAGATCGAGTTACAACTGACTATTGACTCGATGTCTGCAAGCGATACTGTCAAGCTGGTAGGGGCAATACGGCTGTCATTTTGCGTTCGAGTAATAATATAGCGAGTTCGAATAACAAGGTAAACTGGCATTCAATACGTACTGCTCAGACAGCTGCATGTGAAAACTGACATAATGCGTTCGATATATTAGTTATTATTATGCATCTGTCACCGTAACGCCGTAAGTTACAGCATGGAGGTAGTATTATATTATTTGGTTTCCCCACGTTACTTGTAGTAATGTGACTAAGCACATATAATAACTATCCGTTGATGACTGATAGCTCCAAATATGTCACTTTTATCGAGATAACGGTAATCGAGTTACATCACAGAGTCGAACGATAATGCCAAATTTTGGGCCAATAATCACAAATGCTCATAAACAACATTAATTTTGATTGAGCCATTATTCAAAATGCGGTATTGCAATTGCTGTCTTCCGATTGGCTCTGTTACATGTAATGTATATGATTGTGGGCGGTGTTACGTAAAAAGATGATTGTTAGGGCAACGCGCCTCTCATAACTGGCGAATTATACCACTCGTCCACTTAATTTTAGGGCTAAGGACTGTTTCAAAGGCGTGTAACTATAACAGTATATTTGTGTTTCTTCTGTGTTTTTAATCCAAGCGTGAATTTTTATGTTGTATGTTTTCCCAAACACTGTATGTTCGTCATTTTTAGTAGCGTCAGACCGACGGGTGGCACGAAATGCACCCGGGCATATGGACGTACAGTGATGGGGGACTTTTTTTGAGTTTGTCTTTATTGCTGCATATATTGACTTCCTGTGTATATCCGTTTCCCCGAGTTGTGTTGTTGTTGATAGGCTGGCATCTGAGTGGTCATCAGAGTCAACAGATGGTGGAAATAAGAATGATCTGTTGATGGGGAATGACAATACAATGCCGGCAATTCAATTAGTCTCCAATATACAAGTGTTTGTGGTGTCACATGTGTGCTTGGATAACAGTATTGAAAGAAAAAAACAATACACAATTAGGACCATACCCCTATGAAATGATCACGAGAAAGTGTTTGTAAATTTATTTGAGTATTTATATATTTTTACTTTTAACGTATTTACATTTATTTACTAAAAACTCACACGTTGCAAACACGACGTATTTATGTTTATTTACTTATGACTCGTACGATTCAAATACAGAAAACTTATTTTTATTTATTATGACAATGACAACTGATACGATAACAAAATGTAAAATGCATATACAAATTAAACATCGATTTGTTAAGAAATTATACATGCATACTGTGACAAATAAACATATAAACGCCGTACTTGCAACTACTAGTAAACCTACGAATTAAAGCTAAATAATTATAAATACGCCGTACTTGCAACTTATTAGAAATTATTAGTATTACATATTATTGGTAAATAAATATAATAGACAAGATATAAAACGTGTGTGTCCAAAACTCGTCCGTGGTCGAACTTTCCGTCAACAAAAACAGGCATACAGGTAAATAAACAATCGTGTTGCTAGTATCTCAGACTGCCGGCGATTCTCGGGCCTAATTTCTGATATCTTACATAAAAACGTCAAACGACACTTGCTTTCAGCATTAAAAAAAACGCTTTCGCCGTTTTAATTTGATGTATATTGAACAAGTTTGTAAAAACTGTCACCAGTCTACTAGTATATGTGTATACGGCTTTATGCTTTACATTGTAGACAGGAAATCAAGGGAGTTACGATGATTTGTTAACAGTGAATCGACGGACCATGTCACACAGGCAATCTCAGACAATCAAGTAGCAGTTATTTAAATGTCATATCTATTTAAAAGTCCATGCGCTGGTGGCAGGTGTACTACAAGGATATTTACATTGAAAAATATACACCAGTACTAGGCCACTCTAATATAACCATTGCCACGTCTTGTCTGCAGTCCACTGTGACGCGTACAGTGTATTATAATATTGCCTATAGGATGCAACGAGTCAAATTAATTCTATCAACCTTTGTGTTGAAAGTTACACACATCGCTACGTATGCGTTAAAATGCCATTCAACGCGGTATAAATTAGTATCTGGTGTGCACGAAATTTCAACAAGGGCCTTCACTACATTTATTTTGACTACTCCCCTCGATATGTAGTAGTACGAATATTATTATGTGCGTACGCATCCGCACAATGAATAATATTATTTCTTGTGTGAATTTGTTTTTTGGCGCATTTATATTTTGCGGGGATGTGGGAAAGTCTCACGAATCTGCCATATTTATTTTATCCAGCTTCATTTTATTGATTAATCACAAGAAAAGTGTTTGTCGAAAATTTTGACAACTAAAATGAGTAGGTTGAATGATTACATCTTTGCATTCATAATACATCACCAAAGTAATATCAATAATTGTATTTGACGAATTTAAATACAAAACCGGATATAAGCTAATGTTGTGCATATGTCGGAAAGTACAGTGAAGGAAAGCTGCAATTTTTAGTGTATGAAGAAAAATGATATACCACTAATTAGTTGCAATCAAACAATGTGAATAAAAACAACATATTAATAATTAATGCGTGATGCACTTTACTTTAATGAAATTTGTGAATGGTGTTTGGAAACAATTATCTCAACTTCTCATACTCCCTGTAAATAATTAAACGATTCGGAAGTCAATTAATAATTTTGAATTTTACTAATATATTAATTCCGAATGAATTCTTCATAATTATATAAAGCAATTCAGTTAAAAGCACTTCACTGCACGGTCATTGAATACACACAGGCACTAAGATAAATAAATATGTCTCAGCTACTTTGCACTACATGCCCCAATGACACGACTAAACCCACGAAATGTCACCGTCGGCCATGGTTTCTAAATCTCGACCAAGTATTATTGCCACACCTGGTGATATGATGCTTCAATTTTGTGAGTGTCTCTGGAACGTATCTAAACACGTAATTATGGCGTTAATACTGTTCAGTTGCAGCATATAATCTCGTCATAGATGGGTTCAATTTTTTCGAGGATCTATTTTGACAGCTATTATATCGGGCCGTTTCAATTAGAACTGAATCAAGAGAGCGTTCCGAGTAATGAAAATACCGATCATTGTTAACGTGTAGCAGTATAATGGCTATACATAACATCGAGTAACGAGACCAAGACATGGGTAGTGACTCTGGATTCAGAATAGGGAATGCGGTGATTAACTTACACACGCAACACGAGGGTATAAAAATAAATAAATGAAATTATATCGCGGGAATTATTTGACAACACACAATACGACCGTGACTCATATGAGGAATAGCTTGGTGGTGACGTTAAAGTCTCCACTACAACACGCTTACCTTGGATGGCTTTCGTCACTTTGCTCACAGTCATCAGCAATATTGACACTATCACAACCGATGACGCGTACGTGTTCACCATGTTATAAATACGACACATCTCTGGTGAAAACTACTACAGCATTTCTAGGAACCAGTGGATAACCGAGATATTCATTCACGAGTAAATAATGCGGCTCTTACACAGCTAATTTGTCCTGTTTGCAATGATACAACATCCAACCACGTCCTGAGATGAATAAAACGTCCTGCGTACCATCTCCTATTGTTTAATTGGCTTTAAGGAGGGCGACCCCTATTGTGAGTACCCGCAACTGCATTGTCAATGGCCTTGTGTAACATGATATTACTTTATTTAAAGTTCATTGTTATTCTGTTTATATGGTCATGGCAAATTATAGTGATGATCATCTGAGTATTTAGGTTAATTTAATCGCATTCTGCAATACTCTATGTACAAAATGTTTACTCCAATTTCAGTGATCGAATTTCCCTACGTAATCTGTCATACGTATTTGTTCGTATTTCGTTTATGACATGATTATTGACAAGCACATCGACGTGATGTCTTGATCCATGTCTAATAAATTTGTATTAATTCGGATAGACTCTGTCTATTTTAGCCGCTCAGGGGCAGATCTAGGATTCTGGAATAGGGAGGCGGGCGATAAGTTGGTCTAAGGCCAAGTTCGCGAGCGCCGATGGCGCAAGCCCTGTTGGTTGTTAAAAATAGGGGGCGGCCCCCTCGGCTCCATCTAAATCCGCCAATGGCATTTTATAGTGGTAAATCGAGATGCTTTCACTTGCTCTTCGCGCAGTTCATGCTTTGATCCTGTATTATATCGCCAATATTTTTCTGAGTGACAGTCAAGTTCCGTCTTTATATCTATTGAAATATATATCTGAAAAAATGAATACACATGACGAGTCGTTAGTATTGTAATCTACCGCTAAGCCTTTCGGGGATTTTTCTTCGAAATTCGCGTTTCACTGTGATGTCGTCATTGGTTACCCTTTAAATTATCATGGACATTGTGATCATAATTGATCAGTAATTTTGAATTACGTACACTAGTAGTTTTATCGAAACATCGGTAATTGAGTTACGCCCACATAATCCGATGATATTATGATATTCTGAGTTGCATCTCATAAAGTACGCAATAGTCATCTAAAAATAGAACAAATTAATTAACATGAATTTTAGTTACTTTTGTTTCAGATCTGCGCATGTGCACGGAATGGGCTCACAATGCCTGGACAATCGATGTTTACATATTGTTTGTTTTGGTGTACTCTCCACACATGAATCGTTTACTCCCAGCATGCTTCGCGCACACGCACGAGTGAAGCATGTTTGGGAGAATGTGAGGAGAATGTTTTTAGAGATCTTCTGAAAGTCAGTTGTGTATTTACACATAATCTTGTGCATTCAAATAAGGGTCAAAACTGTGTGTCGTGTTTGGTCTATGTACCAATCGACGTCATTAAAATTTCATTTTACTGAATATCAGCAGACTAATAGGTTTGTAGTTGCCGCCATAACAAAAACAGGCGTGTTTCTTGACCCCACGATGCCGTGTACGTTGTTTTGAACGGGCGACGTTGGCGGCGCTTTACATTCAACCACTGTACTGAATACTGTACGAGTACATTTGGAAGTAACATGAGCGAAGGTGGTATGGTTAATCTGATTAGGGTATTGTGGTTGTGTCTTACACACATGCCACATTTCTTCAGTACGACATCATTTCCCAACCTACGACACCACTTAGGACAGGTTTACAAAATCTCGCTTTTTTAAACATTACACGAACATTGTGAAAGATTATTCAGTTTTACCTTTCTTAGCATGTCATCCCAATATTACAATGTTTGTTTTTAACATAAAATCGAACTCTATGTTAGCGTATAATTAAAATTGTGGTTACCATCCATTAAATTAAGAAAATTTGGGGGAGCGAATCTAAAAGATGCGGCATTTGCGAGCATTCCGGGCGAGACGTGCAGGATTCGAAGATAAGATGATATGATGATTCTAAAACTAATTAACAAAAGAATCTACCGAAAAATACCTGGATAATATTGCATTTTGTTGTTGTTGAATCAAAAATAAACTTCGTTCTCTGTGCTATGATTGCATTTAAACAGTACACCATTAGTCAAGTTACAAACATAAGAGTCATACATACACACTAAAATGTTGAAAACTCCAATTACAACCGAAACGATTGATTCAAAGTTCAATAATTGTTGATTACTATCAAAAGACTTCTGACCTGAATCTTTTGTGAATGTCGTAATAATTGTAGTTGATTTATAGCATTATTTATGCTTCTCGACCAATCAGAATGCTTATTATACATATCACGTGACATCAAAATAACACTGACCAAGTAATAAGAAGAATCCACGAAGGTTGGCATCGAACTCTGAGTAAATAAGTCAATGTGACAAAAAGCAAAATATATTCATCGAATTTACAAAAAAAAACCTATCGTCACGAAATGATCAACTCTGTCAGAGATCCATTATGACGCTGTATCCATGCCAAAATTACAATATTACATTTCTTTATTTTATTTGTATTTTTCTTAATTTCATTCGGATATGCCATCATTTCATTCGTATATGCAATTATTTCATTCGTATATGCCACCATTTCATTAGGCTATGCCATCATTTCATTCGGCTATGACATCATTTCATTCGGCTATGACATCATTTCATTCGGCTATGACATCATTTCATTCGGCTATGACATCATTTCCTTGATTTTGATATATCAAGATATTGTGAATACAATACAATATACAATACTCACAATACATGCCCGAATCACTCTGATGTCAGTAAATATATCTGTTTCACGACAGGAAAGTGTAGAAGCAGATAAGAAAACTCTCAATATATGGTTAGTTAACCTAAATATGTTGAACATTGGTATATTGATGACGTCAATGGATCTTTTTTTATGTGAGAAAATTACCACAGACAACTCCTTCTATCATATTTACAGAACATAATCGGGAATTATGCAGGTGCTTACATAATTAATTTACGTTTAAACAATCATAAATTAATGTATTTGTTAGGAAAATACAGTATCAATAAAGGATATAAAGTTAAGCAAATAGATGTCGCTAAAACACGATATTTGTCACGGTGTGCATTTAACTGCATAATTGTAGTTGACTTGGCGGGTTAAAGTGGCGGGTGGCGCGTGGCGGCTGGAAGTGACGGATAGCTTGATTACATCGTTCCTGGTTTACAAAATGTCGCCTTGTGTGAACTGGGTGCCAGGAATTCAATCCCGAGGGACCGAGTAGTGAACTTGTGTGAATTACATGACTTTGGAGAACATGACCACTGGTCAACTAACAGGCGTGGTTATAA